CTTTGCCCATTTAGTTTACATGCGTGGCTTGGATGGCAAGGCAGCGCTCGACCTATAGTAAGACGACACCAATTGCTTGGACGGTGTGAACAAGTGGGATCAATTCAACCCCAGTGCCGATGGTTCGCCCAGGTGGGGGTGGGGGGGGGGGGGTGTCTTACGAATCTTGCAAACGAGAAACATTAATAATAGCAGACAAACCACATGGAATTGCACTCCAATCTTACAATAGCTGAACTAACTGACTCGCAGTCGCAATGGGGCGCGCTTTGACACGACCGTCGATTTCACCTACGCACCCTCTTTTTCTGGACATAGGTCAGATCGTCAGCCTCGTCACCAAGATGACCCTTGCGTTTCCTGGCTAATACCCCAACCTCCTTGGCATTTCCACGACACTGCCGTTTCTTTGGGCCTGAATCCAAATCATGGTGATTTGAGTATGCCAATCGTTTACGGTTCGGGATGAGGTGGAGAGAGGTGGCAGTTTCATCTCTACGCTCACGCTCATCAAGTCGTGCCTTTCCATTCACCATACTCCCAGACAGATTATTGCCCTGGCCACGGAATTTATCAGCCTCGCGCGCATGCGCAACACAAAAAGAATGGCTGGAATGGAAGAAAGAAGACGGCTGGAATGGAAAACAAAGAACACAAGACATACCGGTTTCTCCTTCTGCTCACTACCGATACTCTGGTTGCTACCACCACCTACGCCCACAGTCCAACCTCGGCCCCAACTCGAGTGCATGATGCGCTGACCGCATTTTTGCAACTCTCGTACCAGAATCTGAAACTGGCGTTCGTCTGCCATCGCCGTTCTTTCGTTTTTCCACAGCTTGTCTGGGACGGGGGATGGCGAGGAAGGTGGCGATGACGATTCGATGGGTCTTTGGCGGCGCATGGTCGTTGCCTCGGATTTTGACCATGGGCTTGGAGGATAAGAGAGAAGGGGCAGGACAAGATGGCAATGGAGAGCGAGGAGAGCCAGTTTTAAACGTCACCGAGCTTGGAACAACTCGAAGACGAGGATGAAAGATGAAGCTTTACAGCCACTCCTGGTCCGGTCCACGCTTGGGTCAAGAAGTGTCTGTCTTGTAGAAAGTGAGAAGCTCAGTTTCGAGCCGAAAAAGCTTGGTTAAAAAAGTGCACTATCTTGTAGAAAGTGAGAAGCTTGGTTAAAAAAGTGTACTGTCTGGTAAAAGTGAGAAGCTGGTAAAGTGAGAAGCTTGGTTAAAAAAGTGTACTGTCTAGTAAAAAGTGAGAAGCTTGGTTAAAAAAGTGCACTGTCTTGTGGGCAGTGAGAAGGTCAGTTTCGAGCCAGATGGATCAAGGCCCAGGACATGAAATCCACACCACTCGATCCCCACACTCACAATTGGATTCAATAATACATGTGGATACTCTGCCGCTAAGATACATCTTCAACCTCTTCCTCATCCAGCCGAAGCCCTGTCTCTGGCCTGGTGAAAGCTGTTTGGCTTCGCGGAACCGCGGCCTGCTGTACCCTCCACAGTGCTAGCCCGCTCCTTGGCAGATCCATCTGATGGGTGTTGTGGCGTCTGCCGGCACGGTCAAGTTCATGGCGCAACCTGTCGTAGTCCTTGGCTGACGCCTGTCTGTCCTTGCGAGACACGTCGCCCATTTGCTGGAGTTTGTGCAGTTGTTCGCCCATTGCCTCTATGGTGTCTTGACCGTCTCGCCAACGGGTACCTGTACGGTCACGCTCAAGGCGCAACCTGTCGTAGTCCTTGGCTGACGCCTGCCTCTCCTTGCGAGACACGTCGTTCATCTGCCGCAGCTCCTTTAGTCGTCGTTCCTGCTCTTGAATGGTGTGTTGACTGTCTCGAAAGCGGCGAATGAGGCTTGCCCGATCCAGGTCGCTGAGGTTGGCATTGTTTTGCAGTGCAATGATGTCCAGTTTGGCAGCATCGACTTGGGCTTGCATCGCAGCGATCTCCCGGTTGTACTGTCGGCGTCGGTCGAGTGAGTGGCCGTCTCGCAGCCGCTTGGTCATGCCGTGGACGTAGTCAAGTGAGCTTGCAAGTTCCTGATCCCGAGTGCTTATCCCGGGCTGCCCAGTATCGCCGTCGTCGACGCGCTGCCGTTGAGACGTCGAGCGGCCTCTGGATGGGCTGGGAGAGCGGCTTAGGAGGGTGCGGCGCAGGCTCTCAAACTCACGGACCAGGTCTTCTCGCAAGGTATTTTGCAGGCGGTCAATGGCAGTCCGCTGTGCGCTCAGCTCCGTTGCCGCCTGCTCCATGGCCTGACGTGTCGTGTTAGCCGAGTGCTGGATGGCCTGACGTTCGTCGGTCGACTGCTGCATCCAGGTGCGTGACAGGTCGATTGCTTGCTGCATGGCCTGGTGTGTCTCCTGGGTGGCTTCCATGAGGCTGCCATGGCGTGTGACCGAGTCCGTGTCTGCAGCATGCAGGCGGGCGGTCATGTCCTTGAACGACGCGTCTGCCGATTCCGTTTGGCTGTTCATGTGTGCGGCGAGCCGGTGGACGGTCTGGTCGGCGGCGGCAAGGGCGACATGCTGCGTCAGCATGCGCACGCCGCCCATGGCATCACGCAACTGCTCATCGTGGGCTCGTGTAATCCGCTCGACGACCCGGTGGTTGTGGAGCTCGACAAGACGGGCATGATCGAGTGGAGGTGGTGGTGGTGGTGGTGGTGGTGATGATGGTGTCGGCCGAGGCGGACGACAAGGCGTGGCGCCAAGCCATCCCGCCGCCCAGTTGCGCACGCGCCACTGCCTCGGGGCGGGGCGGGGTGGAGTCGGCGGTTGGGGTGAGGCGGGGGCGGGAACCATCGGACTTGTAGGTAGTTGCACGCCCATGTCATCATCATCATCATCATCATCATGGTGCGCTTTGTTGTCGCCCACATCTCCGTCGTCCACATCTCCGTCGTCCACCTCTCCGTCGCCCACAAGGTCGACCTCGCGTCGGTACGCGCGTTCATAGTCGTCCAGTTCGCGGTGCAAGGCGCGGTGCTCGGCGCGGGCAAAGGCGCGGCGGTGGGCAACGCACCAGCGAACGTACTCGGCAGGACACTCGGCCAGCGTCTTGCCTGCGTGCACGCCGCGCCGGAACCTATACCGCCGAGGGCGCACTGGGATGCGAGTAGATCCAACAGCGCGACGGGTTGGGGGCGGCGTGGCCAGGCCAGCGGGGGCAGCCAGGCGCTGCTGGGCAGGCGGCGTCACGTGACGGGCGGCTGGTGCACCGGCCATGGCGATGAAAATACCCAAGTTTGTTTGCACTTTTTGAGCAAAGCGGCCACGCCGTCTTTCTATCTTCCATCTTCCGTGACCTCTTCCCCCCTTCGTCGTCCCCCCCGGCCGTGTGCCGTGTCCTTCACACAACGCCTCCATGTCGCCGCCTGAAACCCTCTCGCCACTGTGTGTCAGTGCTCGGCTGAGAGTGAGACGCGTCTGTCTGCACTCGCAGCTCCTCCCTCATCTCTCACCATCCGCCATCGACCTGGAGGACTGGCACTCGCTCTGCGCCGGTGGCGGGCGAGGGCCTCTGCTTCTCTCTGCCGCTTTCTGCATGCACGCTTAGCAGCGCCCACCAGGCGAATGGCGACAGCACTACATGTCCCCAGTCCCCATATCAACGCCCTGCTCCGCCCACCACAACATGTCGCTCGCATCTGCCTTGCCATACAACTCTCTCGCCGCAGGCCATGCGCAAACGTCAACGCCGCCTCGCGCCCTACGACGACGCCGGCCTCATGTCTGTTCACGAGCAGCCCAGGGACACGACTTGGTGGGATGCGCTGTCAGATGCAAGAGCTGCTTCGCCGGGCTACGAGCATGCCCTGGACACGGTCTCCTATGCTGAGCTCCTTGCCCAAGTCTGTTCACCCACCACTACCCCTCTCGCCCGTACGCCTTCAACCACTACCCCTCATCACACAACCTCGTCTCCATGCCAGTCTCAGTCTCCATCCAGCACCGAAGCTGTCGTGGCCAGCCTTGTGGCTCAGTGGCTTCAAAACCACGAGTCGTCCGTCTCTCCTCTCCTCCAGGACCTCTTTCGCAGCAAGGGCTACCAGCTCGTGCCCCTCAAGCCCTCACGCCCTCCCGCCTCATACTCGCCGTCGCGACGCAAGAAGCCGAGTTCCATGGTGGCATGGTGGGCGCGTTTCCTACGCCTCACTGCCTCGGATATCACCCTCACGCCCTCCCAGCTAGCTCTTGTCTCGTTACCATTGGAGGTGCTGGCTGGATTTGACAGCCTCCCTCTGCCTACTTCGCCTGCCTTGGACCTGGCCTCCAACCCTGTCGAGTCCACCTTTTTCACAAACTCAATTCTCTTTACCATCACCCTATCTGCATCCTCGTTCCGCATGTCTATCCTTTGCCTAACAATGCGCCTCTTCTTCTTCATCGCCTCGCAGCCATCATTTTGGGCTGCCCACGCCCAAAACCAACTGTTTAATGCCAACTCGCGACTCGAGCGCCTCAACGACGACTGGTACGCCCGGCTCTATCATACCTTGGCCCAACATCTTCCTGTGTCTATGACAGAGGACCTCTTTAGAGTTGAGCTTGACACGTGGCGCAAAGCTGGCAGAAAGTACGCTTATATCGCTCATCACCTCGGCCTTGGCTCTCTTGTCCATCTCCGTGACTACATCTCCCCGTCGCAGCTATGGGGTTGCACTACGGGCGGCGAAAAGTCATGCAACGCTACAGACGCTATCCACTTTCTACGAAACACGCTTGGGGTTCATCAATTAGCTGAGAAGAGTGGAGCGGATGCCCTAATGCATACACTGTTGTGGAACTTGTTCACCTCTCTGCCTTCGTTTGGCTCAAGGATGGGGGCAGGACAGCCGTTTCCGGGATTCGGGCCATTGCATAGGGACGTGGTGATGGGCGAGGAGCGTACTGTATCGGGGAGGTAGTGAGGTTGCCTTTGATGGTAGTAGAGTGGTGTGTACAACGTGTCTGTTCCTAGTCTTGTTGCCCTCGTGCAGATTATATAAATTCAATTCCACAGTACATTGCATTACAGAAGGTCATGTTCTCAGATTGACAGTGCTGTACGGCTGACAATTCCGTCGAGGCAAACAAACAAAGACGACAAAGGCGACGAAACAGGCGAGCCAAGGAAAAAAGGAGACTAAACAACAATACGCAAGAGACGACTCTATCATTTCCTGTCAGCTTAGACTTCAACAATACGCAACAGACGACTCTGTCATTTCCTGTCGGCTTAGACTTCAACAATACGCAACAGACGACTCTATCATTTCCTGTCAGCTTAGACTTCAACAATACACAACAGACGACTCTGTCATTTCCTGTCCGCTTAGACTTCAACAATACGCAACAGACGACTCTGTCATTTCCTGTCCGCTTAGACTTCAACAATACGCAACAGACGACTCTGTCATTTACTGTCCGCTTAGACATTGGCCCTTTCCTACCGCACACGTACTCGGGCAACGAAGCCAATCTTTCTTGCTTCCGTCAAGTCAACGTCAGGTCATGCCAGCTTGCTTGGGGACTACTACCCAGGGCCAACAATGCCGCCTAGGCGCGACAAGAGCCTCCGTACATGGAGATGTGGGCGTGATGAATCGCTGCAAACGTCATGAACACCAGAGCAAGGATTTTGGTGCTGCTGCAGCGACGCCGACCCCAAACACAAGAGACGACGACGATGTAAACACAAGAGACGACAACCATGCCAAGAAACAAAAGACTAGCCATCCCATCCACAACGCCATCCTCTTCACCAAACTCATGCCCCCTCTTCGCTTGCGCTACCTCTCAGCACCGCCAGACTTTCCGCCCATGTATCGTCGTCCCCGTCGAGATAAACGGCTACCACAATTCGTTCGGCCCAAGGAGTGACTCCTTCGACGCCAGCGACGGAGGAGTGTAATGACCTGATTCAATTAGAATTCTATCGTCTTGTATCCATGGACAAAGTTAAAGGGGAACATTACCTAGTGTCACATGCATACATGTCTAGCTCCAAGTGAGTGAGGTTCTTCTTGGTCTGCCCAGAGCACTAACCATCCAGTAATGGGGTTGGGAAGCCGCGGCTTCATCGCTCGACCGGTTGGCACATGAACCTTGTTTCGTTCTGCTCGATCCTGAAAGTGCCCAAGCCAGCGCCAAAGCCAATGTCAAAGGGTAGCAGCAAATGCAGCGCGCCATCACGTGGGCGCTTGGCTTTCATTCGAGGACGTGATTGATGAGAACATGTAGAGTACTTTGTGCTAATCAACTTCGTGTACCACTCAAGATCAGTGACGATACATGACTGCGTGGCTCTGCACATGCATCACTTCGCTTCGCCGTGTGTTCTTATCAAACTACAAAGCGTGAACGGCACGTGACATGGTGTCCTAATATTTTCAGCAAGATGCCCAACTTTCGATGAGTAAAGCATCATCGTCATCTTATTACAGGCCGCCATGATCCACTAGGGACAGTAGAAGCAGATGCTGGGGCATGTGCACACTGACTAACCAAGGCCAAGACCATGAATCCCGAGTTAATGTAATCTGTTCTGTGTCGTCGGAATTGCTCGACAAGATTGCGGTTCACTGCGGGTAATTAGGATGCCCTACTCGACTGCCCTAGCAACGCCCTCGGCAACCTCGAGACGGCCCAGAACTACAGAGATTGGCAGGATCCTTTGGTAACAGTGAGCTTCCGCTCGTCGACGAACCTGAGACCAGCCTTCTAGCTTGGACGTCCACACCATGGACCTTGCCGACAACATACTCACCAAAACTATAAAATGCATTATTAGAGATACTTCTACCTGTCAGGCCATGGAGCCCAGCGTGGCATGACAGACTAGGCCGATCCTAGTAAGCCTCGGCCGAGCGGAGAAGGTTATCTCTAGGTTTTTGGAGCAACATAAATAGCTAAAAGAATGAATGCTAGAGGTATTAACTTATGTTGCAGGAGGGATATCAACCGGATCACGGAGCATCTTGATCCGATCAACCCTGATCAATACCCCTGTATGACCCACTATCTGATTAACTGCCAGCTTACTGCCAAGTGCCTAACAAAAAGCAGGAGCTCTAGTAAGGAAGGTTTACTAATTATTTACCTTCTAGTAAGGGTAGCTAAAGCTCTATATATATAAGTACTATTATAGTAAATATAATCTAATAATCTATCTCCTAAATTATTCCTAACCTTAGTAATCTAAATTTCTATAGTTATAAGCCTAGTTCGCGCTTTACCTTATTAAAGATTATCCTATCTATTTAAGCGTATTATTTAACTTAGACACTAAGCTAGCAAGCTTTACTCTTTTTTTATACTATTTCTTAAGCAGAAGCTTACTTATTACTCTTCTACTATAAGCAAGTAAATCCTAAAGGGGGATATCCTACTTACTAGATTAACTAACTAGCCTACCTAGTATATTTAATTTAGATACTATACCCTAACTAAAGGGATCTAGGTAGAGGTAGACCCTAATACTTAGGATACTAAAAACTACTTTAAGAATAAACCTATTAAGCCTAATATGCTAACAGGTATCGCGCTATCTAATATAACGAGTGAGCAGTACAAACTCTAAATAGCTTAGTACTAAGCCTACTTATTAGATTAGGTATTAAAGTTATTAGTAATCTAGAACCTTTTTATATAGGTTAATAATATAGTAGATTAAGGGATCCTTACCCTAGCCTATATAGAGATTATTAATTAAGGAAGAGTAACCCTCTAAGCACTTATCTAAGTGCTCTATAATAACCTAGCGCTAACTAATTTAAGCGCTATAACACTAGTAAGATTATAGTATTAAACAGCTTAATCTTACTAAGGCAAAGATAAGTAGCTAAGACGCTAATTACTAGTAGAAGGAGTAGACAATCCTATATACGCAAGCTGAGGTATACAACGTTCCTAATATTAAAGGATAGCTTATAGTATAGGATTATCTTAAAGCTCTATCTACTAGGATCTTACTAGATTAGGGTTAAACTATGTTTTAAAGGATTATTAAAAAGTTAGTAATAGGAGAGCTAACTTATAACCTCCTACAGGTTACTAAGATCTATTTATTACTTCTCTAAAAAAATAATATAAGATTAAGCTCTAAAGGTCCTAGAGTGTTTGCAATAATAGGAGCTCCTCCTTCTAATTAACCTAAGAAGGAGTCTTTATACCTATATAGTAGATCCTACCTATAGAAACCTCCTAAATATAAAAATATTATTAAAGCTTAGACTAATACAGGTAACAAGCTTACTACTACTTAATAATTAGATATTAAGAAAAAGATTAATAGGAATCTAAAATTTAAAGAGTTAAGAAAAGCTCTAATTAAGTCCTATCCTATTAATTAAGATTATAGTAGTAAGGCAAGCGCGATTACCTATCTAGGCAGTATCTAGGCGGCACTAATTAACCCTATATTAATAGCGGAGAAAACAAACAGGATCTATTTAACTATAGACTTTAAAGCTTACACTCTATTAAAGAGCACTATCTTTAACAATAGGGGTGCAGTCCACCTAGTTAATAATATAAGCTACCTAGAAGAAAGCTTGTTTAGATTAGTTAGATATAAGACAGTTAAAGTAGGAACTTAAGCTTTTCTAATCTTAGGCAGAGGGACTAGAGTAATCCCTAATGCTCTTAATAGACCAAGAGGTCTAAAAATAGAAAATTTAGTGCTTACTAACGTGGTGTTAGTAGAAGGGTTTTATATAAATATTATATTAGAAGCTTAATTACTTAAAGCAGGAGTTTAGTTCCTTAGGCTAGATACTACCTTGCAGTTTAGATTATTAGAAAAGAGCGTTATATTAGCTAAGTTACTACGCAAGTTTAACTTAACTTTCCTAGAATATAAGCCCTCTACCCCTTATTAAATAATCTAAAGCATAGTGCCTAAACAACCCTAACAATCCTAGACAACTTACCTAAGACACGACAATAAGGAGCTTTAGCACTAATAATTAGGCTATTTAGGACCTAAGGCGCTTAAAGCTCTAGTTAAGTTAGCTATAAATATTAGGATTAAAGGAACTCCTAGGAGCAAATACAAGCACTACGCTATTACACATGCCTAACAGGTTATATTAAGACAACCAAGGGAAAGATTACTACGTCTATACTACTAGGTATTATAGGATCTATTTAATATGCTAATAGGTATAGCTTACAAGCAATAGATCTTAGTATTAAAGTGTAACTACTTAGGAAAGCTTTATACCTATCTACTATAAGCTAAAAACCTTAATAAGATTATATAGGTGTTTAAAAATTTTAAGAGCTTAATACTTAACTAATATAAGCTTAGTATAGTTAAGATTATATAAGATAATAATATTGCAACACTCCCTTAGCGTGGTAAATCTTATTTTTAGATCTAGGTAGCTAATAATAGTATTAAAATTAAGAGCTCACCTGTATATACCTATAAACCTAATAGAGGAGTAGAAAGAGCAGGGCAGGAGATTATAACAAAATTAATTAAAATAAGGATTAGTGCTAACCTACTAATAAAGCTCTAGCCTAAAATTGTTAAAGCAGCGACTTAGCTCTACAATATAAGCCTGTCCTATGCTTACAATATAATATTACCTAACAAAGTGCTAGATTGTTAGTTTACTAGATACTTTAGGTGGTGGCAACTAGAGTAGATAAGGGAGGTAACTACTAATCTCTGCCCTGATTAGAGTGGAATATACGCCTATGGCTGTTAAGCTTACCCCCTTAACAGAGATTAAGCAGCTAGGCGTTACAAGAGGGTTTTTAAGGTAAACCCTTAGGGTTATATTAGATATCTAGTAGGATATAGAGTATCTAATATATATAGGATATAGATCCCCTTGCTTAATTAGATTATTATAACGCGGAATATTACCTTTAATAAGGATCTTTTCTATAAAGAAAAAGATCTAGAGTAGCTTTAATAGTTAGAGGCTTAAAAGATAGTTAATATTATTAGCAAAGATAAGATCTATAATATAGGAGAAGTATATAAAGAGCTTAATATCTTTAATTAGCTTTATATTATAGTAGAGTAATATAAGGAGTCTAGTAAGTAAGGAGGACTAAACCTAGCGCAGGAGCTAGGGGGTAGGGTAGAGCTAGAGGAGGTAGATAATTAGGCTAGCTAGCCTAGTAATTCACAACCCCCTAAGCAGACACCTCTAGCGTGGGTACTAAGCATAGCTAGCTTAGCACAAAGGATCTATACAAAGTCCCCTAAGCTAATAGGGCTCTAAACTCCTAAACTAACACTAGAACTAAACTTTAGTATAGGAAATAAAGGATCTATATAGGTTATAGATTAGGGTCTTACTACCTAAGATAGTAGTAATCTAACTTACTTTAACGCTATAATAGGTAGCTCCTAGGAAAGACCTAGAGGAGAGAGTGCTATTAGTAGGTTACTCTATAAGAGCACAGAGATAGGTAAGGGCACCCTATCTAGCTCTTATAGGGGTGGTAAGTAGAGCTCCTACCTACCTGCTTTAGGACTAGATTCTATATCTCCTGTAGATCCCTTATAAGCGGCACCTAGAGCTCCTAGAAGAAGTAGAAAACCACAAGTTAAAGGACTACTACTAACGCGTGTTAGTAAGCAAGCTTAGGGACAGGACCCTAATAAACCACTAGGAGGCTCTATAAGTGCAGGGATATATATAGTAATAGATCTATTAGATATAGATCTAATTAGAAATCCCTTGCACAATCTTTTAGTATATCCTAAACTAAACACTATAATCTACGCTATAATTATAGTAGTAATAGGGAGCAAATCTCCTAAAAACCCTAAAAGAAATACGCACTAGGACGCTCTATAAAAAGAGCTAAAATAATAGAAGGATCTCTATAACCACTAAATAGAACAGCAATTTAGA